AAAAAAAAAAAAAAAAAAAAAAAAAAAAAAAAAAAAAAAGAGGGGAAAGAGGAGGTCTGCAGCCACTTGAAGAATGATGCTTTTATCTTTATGCCATTCAGCTCTGGAGTAAGCTTCAAGTGAAGCCTTTACCTTTACTTAAAGCCATTAGAAGGAAAATGTCTAAGAGGAAAACCTCATATTTCTTGAGTAACTAACCACTCTTCTTTTTCTTTTTTTCAGTGAACGAGATAATTGGGAGAGACATGTCCCAGATTTCTGTTTCCCAAGGCCCAGAGGTGAGCAGAGACGATCCTCTCCCACGTCCTAACTCCCCAAATTTAGGAAGATCTGATGGGCTCTAACAGTGCTCACTGCAGCTTTGTGCCCACTACCTGCTTCTCTTGGACTTTGGGTTTCCAGCCAGACTTCAGAACTGTTCCAGGAGTTGGACTCACTGTGGGAAAAGCAGCATTCCTCCACCTCAAGCCTTGGGCAGATTTTATAAAAGAACAGGAACAGCATAGGCTGTTTAAGCTGTGGGAAAATGAGCTTTTCTTTTTATATATATATATATTTAAATAGGATACTTTTATATGATGGGTGCTTTGAGTGTGAATGCAGCAGGCTCTCTATTTCAGAGGTGCTGCTTTTGCAGGTGACCTGGTTGCATAGCTAGGATTAGTAATTTGTACTGCTTTCTGGTCATTTGAAGAGCCCTTTAGTCTTGATATTTTTAAAATATGAAATTTTGATAAAACCTTCCAGAGGCAGACAAAAAAAATTATCCTAAGCCCACACTTAGACCTCAGAAACTTAGCATGCGTCCTGAAGCCTTTCATAGATTCATAGGAAATAAAGCCAAATATAGCTCATACTCTTTATAAAAAGTACAATGTTAGGTAAATTGAAAAGAGACCATTCCATCATTGAAGTGTTGGAATATGAATACATTCCAAAGCATAGTGTTTTTGTAACTTTAGATTGTCATCAAACAGTCTCTCCACTAGCTCCATGTTAAAGCTGTTTTCTTCCCTCAGGTAAAGGGTAAAATGGTCATTTGTAAGGTGAATTTCAAAGGTAGGATTTTAGCTTGGGTAGTTGTTTTCTCAAATGGAAGCATCTGCCTCGAGTCTGTAGTCTATGAAACCAGTCTCCTAATTGTTTAGACTTTGCAGTTTTAACTCCTGGAGTCAGGCCAGTAGTGTCTAGAGCTAAGTATGAATGAGGTGTGTACTAGGAGTTGCAGAGAAAGTGCAGGACTCAAGATGAGAAGGCTTTAGGTTCACAATGGCATGGAAGACTTATCTCCTGTTCTGTTTACAGCCGCAATGATTCTATCCCATGGTGTCCTGACTGTATGACCTAAAAAACAGCCTTTTCTCCAGGCTTTGAGGCACATCCAAAAATGAGGTGGTGTCATAGACCTGTCCTTCCACACCAAAGACACCCTGGTGCTGCTGCTGGTGAGGCTTATGTCCAAGGCAGGGGCCAGCAGAAACTCCAGCCTGCTGTCTACCAAAGGAGGTACCCTATTTGGGTACTGTTCCCAAACCCTGCCTTTACCCATCCCTTTTACAGTCCCTGAATTTTATAGTATGTTTTCAAATGAAATATTGTACTTTCATTTATTCAGGAAGCAAATTGAGTGCCTACAAGTGAGACACTGTGCTGTACTGGCTGAAGACATGGGCTGTTAATCTAGAGGATTGTGACCTTTGATGGTAGGGCTTTCTTTACTAAGGCTACATCAGGCCTAAGCAGGGTCTGGTCTATTGCCCACCAACTCTAGTGAGCAGGGTAAGACATACTGATTCAGGATAAGGGAAGTATGTTTATTTTTAACATGTTTTAAATTTCTCCCCTCAAACTAGTTAGAAAATACTTTGTCAAAAAATTGCTCTGTCTACTCTTAGAGCTGGATCTTTTCCAAATTTCTCTGAAAGTGAGTTTTGTATCAATGAGTGTGGATATTGAGATTTGCTTTAGGGCCCATGGTTGGTAGCCCACAGCTTCATCTACAGGGCATTGGCCTTTCAGGTGAATTTGCAGAGACTTGGCCAAATTTGCTTCTACCCTCTTTTCCCTGGGGCAGCTGCCTCATGTGGGGTCACTGAAAGACCCTTTGAGGGTGCTGCTTTGCTGCCTTTAAGAATAAAAGCCTCTATCATCCAGAGTTGCTATGCACCAAATTTTGATGCCTTTTAAATACCTTGATTGCCTGTAGCATTAGAAATGCTTTCCTATTTAAAACAGTTTAGATTTTAAAATAGAGCTTTGTATTGTATGTAATGGTTTTATATTAGCTTTGTATAAGCTTTCATGTAAGAGTCATATTTTTTGCCTTTGTAGATAAAGATTTAAATTTTTGTGCAAAATAGTGTTGGTAAAGCACACATCCATTGGACTATGCAAATTGATTTTTAGTAGCAGCACTGAGCAACTGGGCATTTACTAGCACATACCCTTTTCTCTCACCTGTATTAGACCTTGGGTTGAGGAATGAAGGAGCAGCCTTCTGTTTACTAGAGATGTGAGAAACATGGCTGAAAACATTAAAATGAGATGTTTGGGTTCACATGTGGTGCTGCTGCCCTGGCTACAACCCATCACCACCCAGGACCAGCCAGTATCACCAGACCTCTGCTGGGCCTAGCTGAGACGCCCAGTTTTTAATATGTAGAACACACGGTCATCTTCAAGGCTCAAATGGGCCCAAGTTGAAACCATGTGTTTTATAGAATGGATGTTTATGTGAAGAAGTTGGTTCTCAGTTATGTTTACAGCACTTGGAATTGTGTTTTCTTGTACATTTTATATTTTAAAATCTTTTATAGGAGTGCAGTGCTCCTTACACAAATACAAAGGGAAGATGAGCCAGCAGTTCAGGCTCCTCCTCAGTTACAGTGCTGAAATAATAAACAGTGACGATCAATAGTATCCTTGAAATCTGAGTTTTTCTCCATCTGGGGCTGGTGTGGAAACCTTTGGGCCAGAGCTAAGAACTCTGTGGCTTCTTAAAAGTCCACATGGTCAGGAACTTACGGAGAAGATAGAGGTCAAAATTTCTTCTGGGACCAGTTCTGCATCCTTTAATGGGTGCAAAGGACATGCCACAGTGTTTGCTGAGGTCTTCCAAGGTGTTGCAAGAAAACAAGAAAACATTGACAAAGTCCCCTTAAGTTCAGCCTGAGTGCTACCTGCCCTCTGGTGTTCTCTGGGGATATTGCAGCAGCACAATCTAGAATAGCTTAGGTTAGCCTTGGCTTGACTAAAATTGACTATGTAGATTAGACTGGATTTGAACTTGAGGGAGTCCTCCTCCCTCTTCTTCCTGAGTGCTGGGTTATAGGCATGAACTATCTCATCCAGCTGGTTTTGCCATCCGAAGCTCCTTGAGTTTGGCTGGAGAGGACTTATTTGTGGCCACTCCTGACGCTTTGTTTCTGAGGTCCAGGTATCCTGAGAATGGATGCTGACTTGCTGCCTTCCTTCCTCCCAGAAGGATAGGGAAAGTAGAGAGTTGGGGGTCTCAGAATCAGGTGGACTCTTAATTCTCCCAAGAGTCATAAATATCAACGCAGGCCTGCTGTGCACCCTTTGAGGGCTAAGGACACATCAAAGGCTTCCTGGGTGTCATACCTTCAGAAATAGAGCAACCTCATTATAACCCCAGTCCTGCCTGTAAGGTAGCCATCATCTTTAGGATAAGCAGGCAGAGAAACAGGGTATATGGGAGGAAGGAGAGTGGTGCTGAGCTTGATCTTTTCCAGGTGCCTTTGAGAGCTTTGACAAGCCAGAAAGAAGCCACTGGATTGAGGGTGCTCTGGACACAGGAAAGGCTTGTTAGCTGAGGATATCAGCTCAGTCTGCTTCCTGGTTTCCTCGTCTACAAACACACCCACTCCTTGGGGGCTTGTAACACAGTGCGAGGTGGGTCACCAATAGGCATTAGAGTGGTGTAGTCATCAGGAGCCAGCTGCAGAAGTGACACAGATTTAGGGGATTGAGCTCCAGGCTCAGCTAGGCCCTCAGGCCCTCCCAGCCACACAGTCTCACCTGGTAAGCTTGGAAGACACTAAGGAGATCCTTCATACCAGCTGTATATGGGACCCCCTGCATTCGAACCAGAGCTCCTGGCTGTGACAGCATTGAGGTGGGAGTAGAGGCCAAGGCAGTAGGAGGTGTGGTGAGGTAGCCCACAGTAGTGGGAGAGACTGGGGGGCTAGGGTAGGGAGACAGTAATTTAATCAAATATCCCAACTGTAGCCTAGACCAAGCCCATCCTCTCCTGTCTCTCTACAGTGATATCTCTAGTCTGTCAGCCCACACCTGTAACCCTTGCTATCTCAAAATGATGTCCTGATTTCTAACCGATCTTGGGTTATCTGGGCCAGAAATGTATCAGGACCCTTCCAAATGGCGACAGTAGGTCTGTGAACCAGTCCCAGTAGCAAGTACCTGGGGTAGTAGGCTGTGTAGTTCATGTACAGTTGAGTGGCTGGCCCTGGGTAGTAGGCAAGAGGAGCAGGGGTAGCAGGTACCCTGGCAGTTGGAAGCAGTGCAGATGAAGGATATAGTGCTGTCGTCTCTGTGGGAATGAGGGCTGGGGTGGCTTGGAAGGTGGCATAGGTAGGTGGGGAGAGGCCTACAGACAAGTAAAGAGCACATTTATAGAGAGCCCACAATTTCCCTGGATAGCACAACTAGAATGGAATGTTGTGGCTTGCAACACCTTGGCTCCCACATGCCTCCTCCTCTAACCCATGAAGCACTCACAGGGTAGTTTGCAGGGTGGAGGGGACATGCCACTTCGGCTCAAGGAACCCCCCATCAGCACACGGCTCATCTCCTCTGTGGAACAAGGGACTACTTCCACATAGCGTTCTTTCATCACCTTCTTGTGGCAACGCTGGGCAGCAGCCAGAGCACGCTCGGATGACATCATCTGGATGAAGGCATCACCAGATGGCCGGCCCTGTGCACACCACCTTGTAAGCAGTTTGCCCCACAGAAAAACACCTTACTTGTAACACCTTTCTTACCCAGTGCAGGTGCCCTTTCTAGCAGTAGTCTTTACCTGCTGGTTGAGCACCATATGCACACCATGAGGTCGAATATCAGCTGCTGCTTCTCCTAGAAAACTCAGAATGTCTTCAATGGTGGCTGTGTAAGGCAGGCCTCGAAGGCGTACACAGTCCCTCCCAGTCCCTCCTGCCAGTGGAAAGGGAATGGGCAGCAACGGAGCAGTCAGTGTGGGAAGGAGTGGACTGGTTGCATAGCGGTTTAGGACCTAGTAAGAAAGGCATCAGGTTTATCACACTATGTAGGGACCCAAGGGACACCCTGAAGCAGCAGCACATTGGGACATGGGGAGCCTTGAGTGCTCACCTGCTGCACCTCAGCTGCAGTGCTCCTGAAGAGTTCAATGTATCGCTTACCCAGCATGCCTTTGTGCCTGCGCAGAGCAGCCTGTGCCTGTTCCTCACAGGCAAAGAGAGCAAAGGCATCTCCAGTTGGCCTGCCATCAGGGTGGCGTACAAAGAGCAGCCCATCAGCTCCCCCAGTCACTGGGCACTCTGGCCCCAGGAAGCCTAGAACATCTGTTGGCCCAGCTGAAAAAGGGAGTCCCCGCAGCCTCAGGATCACTTGATCTTCCCGGGACAGGAAACGAGCCACCTCTAGTGATGTACCTAGGTTGGAAGAATAGGAGTTGCTTGCTGGTTTAATCCTTGTAACATGCACCCACAGGGGGCCCAAGAAGCCAAGAGAGGTGGGAAATGGGATATAGATCAAGACACAATAGAACTAGGGCCTTCTGTGGGCACACTCACCCCCCGCGATCTTCACAAATTCCTCCCCTGTGGCTTTGTATACCTGTGGAAATAGAAAGCAGCCCATAGGTCTCCGTCCTTACTCAGGTTTGCCCTGTTCCACTTCTAGCCCAAAGCCCCACCTCAATATAGCGGACACCCATGTGGTGCTTGTGTCTCTGCAGCGCTAGGTCCCGCTGCTCGCTGTCCTCGAATCGGATGAGGGCCTCGCCATTTCTGCGGCCCTGGGCGTTGAGACAGAGTGCTACACCACCCCTGTGGAGCCAGTGTTGTTAGTGCCTCCTGGGTAGCCTTGCCCTCTTTTCCCTCCCATCCTGCCACACCCACCTGGCAATGTTGAGCCCTTTGAAGAATCGAGCCACATCCTGGTCTGATGACTGCCAGGGCAACCCACGGGCCCGTACTACAGTCTCATTGTCCACCACATCAGCCTTGCTGCTGTGGGGGCAGGGCACAGGATCAGTGCTGTCCAAATGTTGTCACCCCCACCCCTGCTCCCACACTCACCAAGGCCCTGTTTCATATTTCTGCTTTACCACCTCTGGCTTCGAAAACAACTGACCTGAGAGGAGATGGCATGGGGGTCAGCAGGGTCTGGTGGAGGAAGTCTCCCCACCAAGCTCTGCAAAAATAGGACAGGTGAGGGAATTGAGGAGGTGATAGAGGGGTTTCCACCTTGTGTTCTCTTAGAGAAGGTCACAAGTCTGCAAAAGGACTGAGGAATAGGCTTTCACCCAACGCTGACAGTAGGTAACAAGCTGTGCAAAAGTCTTACCATTGGGCCCTTCAAGTAGGTGGAGAATAACAGCTACCATAGTCTTCACTTCCCAGACGCCAAAGTCATCTTCTGTTGCATCTGTTTCTAGTCCCAAGTCTGCAGGCAGAGAAATGACAACTAGGATCCGGGTCCATACACCCTACATCACCCCCAAACATCCACAGAATCCTAGCAAACACTAGTTATGGCCCAGCTTATACGTGCAACTACAGGTCCTCAGACCAAACACAGACTTGCCCACATTCCAAATGTATCCCAGCATAGATGCAGACATGGATACCCTAAAGGACAAGGCCAAAAACATAGACTTGCCTACATTAATATAACCCATACAGCAGCATGCACATGCTTAGGCAGATAGCCACCCCTCCACCTTAATTCTGCTGGGTCACAGGTACCCTGTGCCATGGTGCCCACTGTGAGGTCCCTGGCGGGGCAGGTGTTTGGGTGCTGCATATGGAACTCTCTGCGGAGGTCGTAGAAGGAGAAGAAGGTGTCCGGGAGCACCAGGTTCTGGGAGCACATGGGAATAGGATGAAAAGGTGAACTAAAGTGTCCTGTCCATCCCAACAACAGGGATCTTGCAAACCCAGCCACCCATACCTTCCTCAATGTCATACCTTCCTGGAGGCCTCAGGGTGCAGAACCTGTCGCAACAGCTGCTGCCCATCAGTGCAGAGCATATGGGGGCCCCCGCCCAGCAGAGCCACATCCCTGCTCACCAGCTGTGAGAACTGGGGACAGGGAGTGGAGACTCAGACATAGATTCACAGCTAGGCAGGCTGAAACTGGGGGTAGGAGGGAGGGACTCTGGCTGCAAAGCTGGTTTAGCAGGATGTTCAGCCCTACCCTGCCTGGGAAGTAGAAGGCCTTACTCTATATCCCAGGCTCCTAATCCCCACCCCTGCCCTAGTCCACTGTCACCTCCTCTAGGCCAAAGGAGAACAGTCACACATAACCCAAGCCCCCATCAAGCACACTCCAGGAGTCTGGAGTAGCGCCAGAGCAAACACCTGGTGGAGTGAGGCAAGCAGGTGGAGAGGGGAGGGGCAAAGCAGGTTAAACCTGTCCTGGACCAGGCACCACCCTCAGACAGGTGGGGGGGGGCTCACACCTGCCTGAGGGCCAAGAGGCTCATGGTCAATGGCAGCCCCGCCCCTTGGTCTGACCAACCCAGGAACAGAGAAACACCAAGGACAGAGCTTCATACTTGGACACTAGCGGCAGCCTGAGCTTTGACCCACACCCTATCGACCAACTGGCACTGAACTATTTGCTCATAGAGGAGGTGGCACTCTGATGGCTGCCAGCACGCTCCTGCATTTCCCCTGCCAATTCTTTGTCACTTTTCAGCCTAAGGCTGGACAGAGCAAGGCACCCAGATTTTCTCCAGCACCTTCCCAGGTGAGCGATAGGTTAGGCCTGAAGCCCTTCTGTAACATGTTCAGATTCAGCATCTTTGTCTTCTCATTAAGAGTTGGAAGAGGAAAAAAACCTATGCTTCTAAGGGACTTAGACTCATTACAACTCCACCATAGGGTGAGTGCAGCAGAGCAGACGGAAAAATCCACTTGACCTGGATTTGGGGGGTAGGCATGCCCCTAGGCCTTTGCGCTCAGCAGGCAGGTAGCCCCCAGATAGAGTACGGACAGCACCCACGCCTGGCCAGTCGGCTGGGACAGGCCTAAACCAGCAGCCCTCACCTAGCGGCGTCTGCCCCTGAGGCAGACACCGCCCGACGCCCCCGCTCCAGCCGCTCCCGAAAGGGTAGGCAGCGGGGACCTGTGATCTAGGACCAAACTTGAGCCCCTTGACCCTATTTCTGAGTCGTCTGGACCTCGCTCCTCTGCTAGCAGGGGAGGGGGCAGACGAAGGGACCTCTGCGGTGGATCCTTCAGCCGCTATTGCCATCCCCTCAACAGGAGTGGGTGCCTGTAAAGGTCGGAAAGTAAGGTGCCTCTGGGAATGGCCTAGCACGCGCTCACACGGTAGCCACTCAAAAGTTTCAAACAAGACCCTGACCGTCCGTGCCAGTGGGTCACGGCGCTCCAGACTGTGCCTCCCGCCTCCCCCACCCCCGGGAGAGACAGCGCCTTTATCACCCCGATTTTCCACTACCCACGCGGGCCCCCACGCTCACCTGCTGCAGCACCTTGTCCAGGGACTCCGCCCGCGCTAGGCTGTCTGCGCTGAGGCCGCTCGCCTCGCGGCACTGTGGACTCAGTGCAGCCGCCTCAGCGCGAACCAGCGACTTGTGCAGCGTCCCCACCTAAGAGCAGCAAGGGTAGCCGGATGAGCCACTGTGCCTCACGCGCCTCGAAGCGCCCTGCGGGGCCCCGCCAGCTTTTCCCACCCTACCTGTCGGCTGCGCGGCTCCACCACTTGCCAAACTAGGAGGATTAAGTCGG